AAAGAAAAAAAACCCAAAAACTTTCAAGGACTTTGTTTAAAATAAAACAAAGCTTGGATTGGGCATGATGGTGTGTGCCTGTAAACACTGCACTCAGGAGGCTGAGGCAGGAGGACTGCAGCAAGTTCAACGCCAGCCTGGGCTACATAACAAGACCCTGTCTCAAAAAAAAAAAAAATTTATGATGGCCCAGGCCTGTAATCCCAGCACTTGGGAGGCTGAGGCAGGAGGATTGCCTCGAGTGTGAGGCCAGCTTGGGCTACAGTGAGTTCAGTGAGGGCTACAGTGAGGGCTATAGTGAGTTCAAGCCCAGCCTGAACTGTATAGGGAGACCCTGTCTCAATCAATCAATCAATCAATCAATCAATAACACAAACAAGATTTGGCACAAAGGCTTCAGCCAGCGCTCCCTTATCCCGCCATTGTAACTGCATGTGACTCTCCTTCAGTGGCCCAAGGTCCGGACCCGCTCCAGATTCTTCACACAGCAGGGAAACGGCTCTGCCATGGCAGCCAGCAACCTTACAGGGCTCCACAGCCAGGCTTAGAGGAGCTGCTATGTCCCTTGCCACCAGGAGAGTTGTCCCTCGGCTCTGAGGGCTTCTGTCACCCTGTAAGGATGTGGCTATAAACTACAGCGGAGAAACGGCATTGACTCAAGTGACGGGATGTCTTCTCACCCGTGTTGCAGTTATCTGGGCCCTGCTGCTTCAGTGTCACCCGGCTCCAGGACCCCAGATACCAGCGTAAGGAACAATGTTAGCAGGCCTCCTCGTGTCTTTACCAGCGGAACCCAGCAGTCCTGCTTTGCTGCCTGCCTACACAGACAGGCTGTCCCCTCTGCCCTGACTCTTTTTTTTTTTTTTTGGTACCGGGGATCAAACTCCGGACCTTGCAGTTGCAAGGCAGGAGCTGAAACCACTGAGCTAAATCCCCGGCCCTCTGCCCTGACTCTTTCCACCTACCCGAGGTGGGAATGTCGTTCCCTCCCAGAGCTCCCTTGACCCGCTTCTCCTAAATAGACACTGTGGGCTGCAGTTCTGACATCTAATCTCTCTCCCATCCTCTTCCTTGCTAACAAGTACCCTCATTTTGATTTGTTCAAGTTCAAGGTGATCACAGGGTTTAGGAACAGTCAGGTCCCCCCCCCCCAGTCCCAGGCCAGTGTAACCTCTTTGCCAGCGAGTGGCCTAGACACGGGCAGGTGACAGACTTTTGCCCGGCAACATGAGGAGATGTGTAGTGGGCACTTCTCCCCTGTAAAGGGACCCAAAAGTGTGACATGCCCTTTGCGAATATTCAGCTTGGACCTTCTGTAGCCATCTGGTGGCCTTGAGGGGACAAGCATGAGAACGGAAGTGAGCCCCTAAAAGAAGGTGAGGCTGAAGATGACTGACATGCATCACTGGTGAGCTTGTGAGCCACTGAATGACCAACCCAGCACTGCCCACCCCGGCCTTATTTCTTACTCCTCTGCTTGTTTAAGTCAGTTGAGTTCACTTTTCTATTGCTTGCAGCCCCAAGCCTTCCACATTTATTCATACATCTGCTTATTGTTTGCTGTCATGGAGGTGTCTAGATGTCCCCTCAAAGCCTCATGCACCCATAGGTGGGCTTTTCCAGAGGCGGCTGGATCTAGAGTGTGTGATGCTGGGATTAAAGGCATTCGCTTACTAAATTAGTCCACTGATTGGCTTGGCACCCACCCTGTGCCCTGTAGCTTAGATGGAATGTAAAAGGGGCAAAAAGAAGCTACTATTATCGCTTGCTTTTGCTGTCTTCTGGCTGCCGTGAACTGTTTATCTCTGTGATGCCCCTCTGCCATGCCACCCTGCCTTGGAACCAGCTGATTATGGACTGAAATCTCTACAAACCATGAGCCGGAATAAACCTTTCCTCCTTTAACTGTGGGTGTTGGGTATTTTGTCTCAACAATGAGAAAAAGTAACTAAGAATTTTGCTTATTTCCTTCATGAAACTAGTTTAAAAAAATTTTTTTTTGAGATAGGGTCTCACTATGCAGGCTAGGCTGACTTCCAACTCTCAGCAATCCTCTTGAGAACTGGGATTACAGGCGTGCATCACCTTGCCCGGCCATTCACTTGGTTTTTGTCTGCATACCACCAAGTGCCACCTCAGAACGTAAACTCCAGGAGGACCAGTCCTCCTCCATCTTCTTTGGCCCTGTAACCCCAATATCTAGCAAGTGTGGAACCAGACAGCTCTGCTGCATATATGTGTTAAACAAGAAGAAAAAGAGATGTTCTTCTGTAATTGCTTACCCTAATTACCACCCGCGTCACAGTGACATTGAGCTGGAAAAAGAAACACACTTCATTAAGACATTATTATTACACGGGCCGGGGATTTAGCTCAGCGGTTCCGCCACCTGCCCCTCAAGCGCAAGGTTCCAAGTTTGATCCCCAGTAACAACAACAAAAAAAGCCCAAAAGACATTATTACACACCACAGCCCTTCCCGTGGCTGCGGTCTGAGGCACATCTGTGCTGTTAGAAGTAAATTACTTGACCTTGCGGAATCTCCATTTCACCACTTCCAAAGTAGAGCTGTGAAAACAGCTGAATGGGATCTTGTATTTATAAGGCAACAAGTCCAAAGTTGGTGCTCCAGATACAGTAGATCCCCTGATCTGCACACCTGGCTGGGGATGGGCTGCAGGGGAGCAGCAAACTGGGGCCACTTGCCTTGGGGGTGTGTGGGGCCGCTTCCAAGCTGACCAGCACCTCTCCGCCCTCCTCTCTCCCTGTGCAGCTGACCCAAGGCCACATGCTGCTCTGATACCCTGGGTTTCCTGACTTCATTTTCCAGAGCACAAGGTGGGGAATGATTTGTTTCTAGTAGCACAGCTGACCAATTCAGGAAAGAATTCAGGGCTTAGACCTAGAAGACCTGAGGTCGGTCCAGTCTGGCTCTGAGTAGGTGAGTGACCACAAGCAAGCCTTCTACTCCCTGAACCTCATTCTCCTTACCCACAAAATAGGGATGACGGGTTCTCCTTACTTTCCTGGGCATGGTGACATAATCCAGGCACTCGGGAGGCTGAGGCAGGAGGATCGCTGCAAGTTCCAGGCCAGCCTGGCTACATAGTGAGATAGTGTGAGACCGTCTCACAAACAAACAAACAAAAAGAGTAGGGATAATGGATTTTAATGATGTTATATTATATAGACTTGAAAATTATTTTTAAATTGTTCAAAATTTGGGTTATTTGAATATTTTCAGCCTTCCTGGCATAGAGACTGAATCAGAGACAAACAATACCAAGGCTACTTTTTCAAGATGCTGGAGCACCCTGTCGTGTGTTTTCAGGCTACAGCCTGTCTTCAATGCCCTTCATCATTAATTAATTCAACAAATACTCCACTGAGCCCCCACTATCTGCCATGCACTGTTGCATGTATTGAGACTAGAACAATAAAGACATTAGGCTTCCAGCTCTCTTTGACTCTAGAAGGCCAAGGAAAAAGTTATGGTTGATTAGTGCAAATCTGTACCACCTGAAGTGTATCTCTGGCCTTTTGATTGTGTAAATGGGGGGACACAGAGGAAGGACAGAGAATGGAGAAAATGTAGGAAAAGAAATGGAAAGAATCCAATCCCAGTAGAATCTGGAAATGGTTCTAGTTTTGTTAAGTGTCCTTTTGTCATTGTAACATCCTAGCTAAGAACACAAAACCTGAATTTAATCATGAGGAAAAGCCAGACAAATCCAAAATGAGAAACATCCATTTTCAAAAATGTAGTAAAAGGTAAAGGAAGGCTGAGGCAAACTTTGGGAGCAAAGGAGATTAAGAGCTGTGAGAAATAGACATAGTACTTCATTTTCTCCTGTACTGGAGGGGAGCACTAAAGAAGCTCTTTATTGGATCAGCTGACAAAGTTGGAATGCAGAGGGTAGATTACATCTACACAAGTAAGATGTCCTTATTCTTAGAAAACCCACACTGCCCTAGGTGGAGAGAAAAAAGGGGAGGAGAGGGAGGAGACAGAGAAAGAGGGAAGGAAAGAGGAGGCCAGGGAAAGGGAAAGGAGAGAGGAGTGGGGAGGGGAGGAGAGGGAATGAAGATGAAGTGAAATGTAACAATAGGTGAATTTGAGAAAGGATATGTGTGTGTTCTTTGTATATCTTGTGCAACTTTTCCAAATACAGGTTTTTAAAGAATTGTGTTCAGGGGGCTGGGGATTTAGCTCAGTGGTTTCCCTGCCTGCTGTGCAAGCACAAGGACCGGAGTTTGATCCCCAGTACAAAAAAAAAAAAAAAAAAAGAATTGTGTCCAGTAGACCTGGACTCTACGCCCAGGCCCTCTCTGCTCACTCAGCACATGACCCTGAAGAAATCCTTCTTCTGTTTTCTAGACCAGATGGTTTCTAAGGTTCTCTGGCTTTGGCAATCAAAGTTCCACAACTCTGACAAGTTCCCAGACAGGACTTTGGAAAGAGGGCAGCCCTTTGTTTTCCACAAGGTCTCTTCAGTCCACCAATTATTCCATTACAACTCCTCCAATGTGTCCACTCGTCCTCTTTCACCCGCCATAAATTTGCCCTGGCATCTTTGCCATCAGCCAGAGGCCCAGCCTCTCCTCCCTGGGGCCCTGAGGCTCATCTTCCCTAAGTCCCAGCCGTGGTGGAGGACCGGCACGTGCATTTACCACCAGGGAACTACACCCCCCAAAAGGCTTTGCGGCAACATCCCACAGGTTGCCACCAGAGAGAAAAGGCTTTCCTAAGCGGGGGGCCAGCCGCCGCATGCCCTTTTGGGAATTGTAGTTTATCTGTAAAAAAGCTCCGGAGCCGGCACAAGGCTGCAAACCACGTTTCCCAGAATTCACTGCGCTCTGACCCACCAATCGAAGGCACAGGTCTTGGAGAAAGAGCGGGGGACGGGGAGGAGCGGCACGGCGCGTGCGCAGTAGCTGCGGCTGGGGAATTCATGTGGAGGTCAGGGTGGAAGCAGGTGAGAGTGGAGCTGTTGAGCTAGGCCCGTGTCTGGGCGTCTGAGAAGTTCTCCTTTGCTTGCTTATACTCAGTTTGGGCCTGTGGGCTGCGTGCATGGGTCTGCCTTTGGGGGAGAGAAAAGGAGCTGAGCCCAGGACGAGCCAGGGGTTGCGCAGGGGTAGGAAAAATCCAAAAGCTGTTAGCAATGGAAAGGATCGGTGTCCCGGTCTCGGGGCGGAAGATGCGTGCGCTGGGGAAGATCAGGGTTCAGTAGTCTCGGAGTTGAGTGAGGTCTGAGCAGGAGGGAGGGGGGATTGGCGAGCGGGGCGGTGATGGCTTTGGGGCGGGGCATTGGAAAGTTGAGGGGGGAGTAGTTTCCAGGTAGGCCCGCTCGCTCCCGGGCCCCTAGTCCGCAGAGCGCCGCCGCCGCGCTGGGCAGCTCCTTAGGGCCTCGGTGCCCAGTGGATCCTTTTGTTATCCTGGTCCCAGAATGCCATCCTGCTTGGGTAACAGCAGATCATTCTTATACCAGGGTGTCGGGAAGCAGTGTGAGGAGAGGAGTTCAACTCTGCCCTCTGGAATCAGAGCCTGGGTTCTTACCCTGCTCGTATCACCTCTCTGCACCCGGGTTTGCTCATCGGGAATAATTCCTACATAGCTGTTGCTGTCTCTTTTTGTTGCTGGCATCATCGCTGTAACATTTTTTTGTTTTGTTTTGTTTTTGGTACCAAGGTTCGAACTCACTGTAACATATTCTTAGAGTTATTTTTCCAAGCAAAGATGACTCAGAATCAGCCACTTTTGGGGCCTCTTTGTCCAAAAATCTGGACCGCATTCCTTATGTGACTGAAAACAAGAAACTACAGAAGAAGAACAGCGGAGGAATCGTGGCACTTTGCTAGCTCTAGCGTGTCCGTCCTTAGTTGGCTTTCACCGAGCGATTCAGGCGTGGGAAATGAATGTTGCGCAGCGGAGAGGGCTTCCTGTGAGGATGTGAGGTCCAGTTGTTTTGTTTTGTTTTACTTTCTTAGGTGTGAGTGGGGCCAGCAGAAGGAAACATGGCTGCAAAAGTGTTTGAGTCCATCGGCAAATTTGGCCTGGCCTTAGCTGTTGCAGGAGGCGTGGTGAACTCTGCCTTATATAACGGTGAGCCTCTGAGGCCGGGGGTGGTGGGTCACCGCCCTTTGCCCAAGGGCAATTCTCGCCGTGGCCGTGTGACACTCCCGATGGCAGCTGCTCTCTGTGGTGTGTTTGTGGCTGAGAGGGCTCACCCTCTGTCACCCTGTACCTTACGGCTGTGTTGTCACCAGAGCCCTGTCCCGTCTGCTGTGGTTCTCTTAGAACCTCCCAGTCACTGACTGCCCGCGTCAGTTTGAAGTGATGCTATTTCACCCCAGTGCTGCTGCTGTGGCATCCAGATTTTACTGGATAGTGAGAGAGAGGTTCGAATCTGTTCTGCCCGTGCATGGGTTGGGTCAGCACAGCCTTGAGACTCGTTTGGGTGACCTTGTCCTGAGCAGGAGCTATTGCTGTCTTGTTCCAAAGAAAATACCTTTTTTGGGGGCCAGGGATTTAGCTGAGTGGTTTCGCTGCCTGCTGTGCAAGCGCAAGGACCCAAGTTCAATCCCTGGTACCAAAAAAAAAAAAAAAGAAGAAGAAGAAAGAGTGGGATTGAACTCGGGTCCTTGCGCTTGCACAGCAGGCAGCGAAACCACTCAGCTAAATCCCTGGCCCCAAAGAAAATACCTTTGCGATGCACTGCCCGGCTTTTCACAGCATGGCCAGGCTTTACGCTGGCTTTTCTTCCACTTTACAGTGAGGATTGGAATCGCTTCTGCCTCTCTAAGCTTCGGTTTCCTCACTGGTCCAGCAGTGGGATTGAACGAGTTTATCTCTAAGACCACCTCAAAGTCCACCATTCTGTAATTTCCACTCCCCAAAGCACCAGTAGTTTGATCCTGCTGAGTATGTGGCTATCTGATAAAAGTAGAATTATTTTGGCTTATCACAGTGGTGCACACCTGTAGTCCCAGTATTTGAGAGGCTCAGGCAGGAAGATCTTTGTGAGTTTGAGATCAGCCTGGGCTACATGGAGAGCGAGACCCTGCCTCAAAAAAAAGGAGGTAGGATTATTTTCAGAGGATAGGTATTTGTTGGACCAACTCTAGTTCAGAGAGGGAAGACAGAAGCTAATTAGAGAAGCCAACTGGGTGTTTATGCCACCTCTTGCTGCTATGACCCTTTTCTGTGCATCTGCATGGCTATGCGGCTGTTGCCATCACTGAGTGAACAAGATGGCTCTAAAATTTTAGAGAAACTGAGATATTAGAAGAAAGAGTGTGAGGCCGGGGATTTAGCTCAGTGGTTTTGCCGCCTGCTGCTCAAGCGCAAGGACCCGAGTTCCATCCCTGGTACTCGCCCCCCAAAAAAGAAGAAGAAAGAGTGGGACCAACGTTTTAGGGTTCCTGTAGTGAGGGTACTGCTTCTGGGAACACTGGGGTACACTGGAGCCAGGATGGCCTCGAGCAAACAGTGCAGATCCCCGTGAGTTGCAGGAATTCGGGGAGCTGATTCCTGGAAGTGCACAGGTGGGAGGTGGGGTGGATAATCAGAAAGTCAACAGCCATTTCTTTGCAGGAGAAAGGCTAAAGAACAAATCCTGTTACCAAAGTCCTTGAGAAGTGCCTGGGACAGGAAGTGATTGCTTAGTTTCGATGCTGTTTAGAGACTACAAGCTCCTAAGGCAGAGCAGGAGAAGGGACATGCAGTAAATGAGTAGACAGCAGCAGGGATCTCTCAGAGACCCGGTCCTTTTGGCTCTGGGCTGAGGGAGTTTTCCTGACCTGTTATCTTCCTTCCTAGTGGATGCTGGGCACAGAGCTGTCATCTTTGACCGGTTCCGTGGAGTACAGGACATCGTGGTAGGAGAAGGGACTCACTTTCTCATCCCTTGGGTACAGAAACCAATTATCTTTGACTGCCGCTCCCGACCCCGTAATGTGCCAGTCATCACCGGCAGCAAAGGTGAGTGTCACCTGTGCCCTTCTGCTGGCTCTAGGGTCCACACCAGGTTGGACTTCACAGCATAGGGATCTAGCATGTTTGCTCTGGATTCGTTTATATGGAGTCATAGAAATACACACTGAGGTACACGCATAGACAGTGGCGCACATTTAGAAAAACATACAAAAATTTATATGAAGAGATACATAGTGAAGTAATTGCTATGCAGTTCAGGCCTTGAATTCACTGTGTGGTCCAGGCTGTCCTGGAACTCATGGTGATCCTCCTGCCTCAGCTTCCAGAGTGCTGAGACTACAGGTGTGCACCAGCCTGCCCAGCAGAAGAGGGTCGTTGCATGTTGGTTTGTGACCTTCACTCTGCCCTCTGGTGCTGTTCTTCACATGTTTGCTTACTGCTATGCCAGGCTTGGAGCTAGGCTGGAAGGTGGAGTAGTGCAGAGATGACTAAAGCAGGAGCGGTTAAGACCTCAGTTTACCCAGGAAGGCAGATGTGCAAACAAGTAATCAGGGTGAGGACGACCAGGCCCAGGTCATGTGGAGTCGCACAGACAAGAGCAGCCACCTCCTGTGAGGAGGCGATGTCCCAGGGACCTGCAGATAGGAAGCGGAAATTGGAAATGGTTTGCAGCTCCTGGCTGGGGAGAAGCCTCCCATCAAGGGGCCGGTTTACCCACTACAGAGAGGAACTGAAAGGTGGGGGAGAGCAGTGGGGGAACATCAGCTTGCACAGCCTGCTTCTAAGTTGGGGTTTCTTTCTTCACTGGCCAGTGATTGTTCTGAGGGTGCATCCTGTGCCTGTTTCTAAAGGGGTTGCTAGGCGCCCTGAGAGGTGAGGGCTTTCCGTGTATCTGTGTATTCCCCGCTGTCTTGGTGACCCAGCCAGACTCCATCTCAACTGGGTTCATGTTGTCAAGGACTGTGAACAAGCGGTGGCCACGCACGACCTGGTGACCTGGCTTGTCTTAAAACATTCAGTGTTCAAATATCACATGACACCCATTGGCCTCATCTGAATTGCTCTTATCAGAGGACACTTGGGACATAGTGAAAAGTGTTGTCACTGCATCCTTTTAAGAATCCCCCCCCCCACCCCACCAAAAAAAATAAAATTTCCCTAGCCAGGCATGGTGGTGCACACCCGTAATCCCAGCACCCAGGAGGCTGAAGGAGGAGGATCGTTGCAAGTTTGAGGCTGGCCTGGGCTGCATAGCAAGACCTCATCTCAAAAAAACAAAACAAAACAAAAATTTCCTTACTTTGCAACTCTGCTGGCTTCTCTGCCAAGAAAACCAGGCACACCTGCTCCTTGCCCTAAGTTCTTAACCAGAAGCCAGTTTGCTTATGAATTGTAGCAGATTTAGGCTCAGACAGGTGACATCAAAGACCACCTGTCTCCCCCAGGGGTTTAACCCCTGCACTGCTCCCTAAGATTTGCAGAACGTCAACATCACCCTGCGCATCCTCTTCCGGCCTGTCGCCAGCCAGCTCCCTCGCATCTTCACCAGCATTGGGGAGGACTACGACGAACGTGTGCTGCCATCCATCACCACGGAGATCCTCAAGTCCGTGGTGGTGAGTAGGCGGGGCCCGGGCACCTCTCAGCAGGAGAGTAGCTGGGGCTGGTGCTGTCCTGTTTTCCACTCCTCGGTGACACTCCTGCCCTCTGCCCACCACCAGGCTCGCTTCGATGCCGGGGAGCTGATCACCCAGAGAGAGCTGGTCTCCAGGCAGGTGAGCGATGACCTCACCGAGCGAGCGGCGACCTTTGGGCTCATCCTGGATGACGTGTCCTTGGTAAGATCCAGGGGGAGCCCTGTGGAGGGGCCCTGCTTCCTGTGGGTGCCTGGCTCGGGTTCTGGGCTGGGCACGGTTGGGTCCTGGCCCACTCTCCTACATGTGAGACTTACCTGTGTGAGGCAGCTCCCCAGGCAAGGTTGCTTTCAGCTGAGAGTTTTTACCTCTTCTCCACCATGATCATTTTTCCTAGGATCCCTGGTTGTCCCCAGAGGGTCCCTAAGCACCAACTGTGAGTGCTCCCCAGGGCTTGACCCAGGATGAAACTAACCAGTAGAACCAGAGGAACCCCAGTGGCGTGGCCTGTCCCTGGCACCCACCTCCCCGCTAACACTTAGGGCTGAAGCCAAGGGAAGCGAGTCTGGTGAGAGGCGATAGAGGATAAATGAGCAGGCTGTCCCTGGCCAGCGTGGGCAGGGGACATCCCTGCCAGCCTCTTGAGAGCCCACAGTGCATGGATGTATTCGAGGCCAAGTCCCTCACTTGGGGAGAAAGCAGGACAGTCAGGGTAGCATTTCAGGTAGAAGGAAGGGCTGGAATTTCTAGACTCCCTGGGAAAGCTCATTTGCAGTGATTTGCTCTGGTAATGAGGTAGAGTTTCCTGTCCAGGTCTCCTGTGCGTTGCTAGGGAAAGCACTGCTTCCCCTCCGCATCTGTGCAGCTGTTTAAACACTGGTTCTCAGCACCCTGCTTAGGCTCCCCTCAGCCCTGCGGGCTCCATTGCTCCAGGGGGGTGAAACGGCGTGTGGCGCCCCCTGCCGGCAGCGTGCTGAGCTGCACGCCCAGCTTCCCACCTGTTGTCAACCTGAGCCCGCAGGGCAGCAGACCAGGAAAAACCCTGAGGCAGAGCTTGGTGCTGTGCTAGACTGACCACAAGCTCCATTCTGGGGAGATGTGGGCTGAGCACAAGAAGCTGTGTGTAAGAGATGAGAGGAGAAAATTAGATTTCCTGGGGAATTTGCTGCCCTCAGCTGGCCCTTGTAGAAGGAAATTGTATTCCTTAATTACACATTTCATTTTCCACTCCTCGGGGTCACGTTTTCTTACCCAGACATTGAGTAAGAGTCCCAGAGTGGATCGGGCAGGGTAGAGCAGCTGCAGTTTTGAAGTTAGGTGTTGGTGTTAACGCCTGTGGAAGACACGCAGGTGGGCGTTACTCCTCAGGAGAAGTTGGGGGCTGCTTATCTTTTTAAAAAGCAGAGGTTGGCCCAGGTGTGGTGGTGGGTTCCTGCAATCCCAGCACCTGGGAGGCTGAGGCAGGAGGATCGCCACAAGTTCAAAGCCAACCTGCAAACAAAGCAGAGGTTGGGAAGGCGAAAGAGCAAATGAAACAAATAACAATAGCAAAACCAATGCTCTTCTTCCCTTTGTTTCTTCTTTTCCAATAAAAGTTGGATAAATGAGAAAATCGTCCCGGGCTAGGAAGGCGTTGTGAGCTCTCAGATCTGTCCCCATCATCTGTCCCGTCTTTAGAGCTGGTCGCCTCAGCCAAGTCCCGGTTATTTATGTGACCAGGGATGGTCTTGGTAATCAGCCTGAAGCCCTCTCCCTGGCCAATGGCTTTACCTGCCTTCTGTGTCTTCTAAACTCTTTCCCAGAAGCGCTCACATTGGGGATGCTGTGATTTGCGCCCTATCTCCGTGGCCCCTTCCTTCCTGTGTACCGCAGAGGTGCTGGGGGGAAGAGGGACTGGTTAATTCATAAGCGGGGTCTTGGCTCCTGCTCCCTGGGAACTGGCTGCATCCCCAGCTCTCAGGGGCTCCGCTTCCGTCTGGCTTCCCTCGGGCCTTTGCACAGGGCATCAGAGGATCCTGAAAGAGTGCTGGCTGGGGGTCCTGAACCCCCATATCTCCTCTAGGGAGGTGCTGGGTTGAGAAGATACCTCCTCCTGCGCCAGGCCCCCTCCAAAACCCCAGGTGCCATTCTCTGCCTGAGGTGGCCGCACTGAGGAGACAGTGACGTGTGAGGGCAGCCAGGGCCTCTGTGGTGTGGACAGCCAGGGAGGTGGAGGGTGGCTCGAGATTCCTCCAGCGGCCCCAGCCCCGCCTCAGCCCAAGCTCTCTCCCCTCAGACACATCTGACCTTCGGGAAAGAGTTCACAGAAGCTGTGGAAGCCAAACAGGTGGCCCAGCAGGAAGCAGAGAGGGCCAGATTCGTAGTGGAGAAGGTGAGTGCCTGGCCAGATGGCGGACCCCTCTCCCCTGCGCCCTTGCTCGGCTCCCCCGTCTGCTGGGTGGCCTGGAAATTCATCATCTGTCATCTCTCCTTCCGGGATCGTTGGAAGGGGGGTGAAAGAGCTGCACTCCTGCAATCGGTTCCAGAGTCTTAGGGGGCTCATCAGGGACACGTGAAGGGTCATTTTCTTCCCACTTGCCCAAGATCAAAAACTCTCCTCCACATGAAAATGTTACTCCTGGAAGACTTTTAGCTCCACTGAGAAGTCATTTTTAACCATGGTTCCATAGTGAAAGCTGACAGCAAAAAAGATCAAATGGTGCACCAGATGTGCTTATTGTCCCCAGATTTTTTTCCTGGGCTAAACCCATCCAGATGTGTCTGAGTGTCATGGAACACAGTGTATTTTTGGGCAACCTGGTCTTCCCCTTACTTATAGAGGTGGATTTATTTGCTGTCTCTCTCCCCCACGCTAGTGTTCCTAATCCAAGACCTTGTAAGCCTTCAGATCAGGGAGAAGAGGGAGAGATCGGACTGTGGAGACTGTGAGCTCCATGTGTGCCTGCCACGTCCCTGGGGCCTGTGACCAGCCCAGCACTCCCCTGGTGTTGCTCAGTGCAGTCTCCTATCGGGAGAGTAGACAGACAGCGGGATGTGGTTCGGTGGTAGAGCGCTTGCCTAGCAGTGCAAGGTTAGACTTGTAGCACTAAAACAACAAAAAAGAGGATTGTGTGTGCGTTTCAGAGCTGTTCCGTGCCGTACTCCTGTCCCACGCAATGAAGGCCATCGTGGCCCAGGGATTATTGTATGGTACTGGCCAGCAGGCCAAGGAGGCCTTATCTAGGTGCCTGCTCAGAGAACAGCCCAGTGTCCAGGCCTACACTGCTCTTCTTTAGCCTCTCGTCGTTTTGGGCCTGTTCATGGGGCTGGGGCTGGAACCCAGGGCCTCATGAATGCTGGGGATGTGCTCTACCACTCAGCCACACCCCCAGCCCAGTCCTGCTTGCTTTTCATGGAAACTGTTTTGACTTGGGGTGAGAGGGAATGACGACCCTGAGAATTGCTTTGATTTTGGTGTTTGAGATGGTAGCCCAGGCTGGTCTCGAACTCGTGACGATCCCCCTGCCTCAGCCTCCCAAGTGCTGGGATTAGAGGTGTGTGGCACGGTGCCTGGCTACGATGGCTGTTTGTGCAGCCCCTGAGAGCTCATCCCTGCAGTGCTGAGAAGCGGCTGAGGGAAGAGGACTGGCAGCCAGGGCCCCTGCTGGGGTCTCCGTCTCTCTCACCTCCGCTCCTTTAGGCTGAGCAGCAGAAGAAGGCAGCCATCATCTCCGCCGAGGGCGACTCCAAGGCGGCTGAGCTGATCGCTAACTCGCTGGCCACCTCGGGCGACGGCCTGATCGAGCTGCGCAAGCTGGAGGCCGCCGAGGACATCGCCTACCAGCTGTCTCGCTCTCGAAACATCACCTACCTGCCGGCCGGGCAGTCGGTGCTCCTGCAGCTGCCCCAGTGAGCCGGGCCAGAGGCGCCTTCCTTCCGCCCCACCCCCAAAATGAATCACTGTGACACTTCATGATTGACCCGAAGTGACGGAAATAAAGCTAAAATCACTTTAGCCTGATGATTATCCAAGGAAGGTCTTTTGTTCCTCCCGTATCCACCTTTGTATCCACCTCCCTACCAGAAACTGCCAAGTGCCTGTGCAGAGCGGCTCAGGGCTTGTGGGTGCCCCAGCCTGGGGCCCGGCAGCTGGCAGAAGGGCAGGGCGATGGTGACCAGCGGGGTCGCTCTCCTGGCCTCCATCCTGTCAGTGAAGATTCCAGGACAGTGGCCGAGAGGGTGGGCAATTCCTGCACAGCCAAGGAATCTGCCCCTTTTGAGGTGGGTGGGCCTGGCTCTGCTGTCCCCCAAGGTCCTAAAACCAGGATGGACTTGGATAGGGAGCCAAGAGGAGACCTGGCCCCAGGTGCGTCCTGCTGGAGTCTTCCGGCTCCAATGCCCGGTGGAATTCCAGCTTGAAGGATCACATCCTGCCGGCCGCTGGGCCAGCCAAAGACGCGCATCCCACGTTCCTGCTCCTCACTAGACCGCCCTTCCCCAGGGCTGCGCCTGGGCCCCAGAGGAATCAATCATGGGAAGAAAATAAATCTGTGTAAACCGCTGTCAATAAACGACACCCAGACCTTCCAGCTGCGGTGCGGGTTGTTTTTTCAGTGGGATGAGAACAGAGCATCCTAGCAGGCTTTGCCTGGGCGTGTTTGTATCTCCACCTGGGATGGAGCATCCAGAGGGGCTTTGGTTTCAGAATCTGGCCCTGGCCAGGATGGAGCCACAGTGATACCGAAGGTGAGGGTGGTTGTTTTGGGTTTTTTTTTTTTTTTTTGGTACCGGGGATCGAACTCAGGTCCTTGCATTTGCGCAGCAGGCGGCGAAACCACTGAGCTAAATCCCCGGCCCAAGTGAGGGTGGTTGTGAGGTTGGTTCCTAGGAGGTAGAAGCAGAGGAGGTTAATTCACTCCTCTGTGTGTGCTGGCACCAACTGGAGGTGCCTGGCCGCCAAGTCTGCACTGCCCCTACGCGGGAAGGAAGCACACATGCCCGCCACCCTGCCTGCTCTCTAGCTGGGTTTGTGGTCATATTTGTATGGCTTGGTTCTCTGGTCTGGTGACGAGGACCCGGAAACGCCTTGGCCTTGAGATTGAGTTCATGCGCTGGGGATGGTGGCAAGGGAGAGCAGCAGACCAGGATGGAGAACGAGCCTTGAGCACCACGGGTGACCAGGGAATTGCAGCCTTGCTCAGCCAGCCTGCACTCCAACCTTCACCCCAGTGCCTGGTCACCACCAGGGCCACTGTCCACCAGGATTCTGCATTTCCTCTCCCAGGGGGCCAGGGCTGGCTGTCAGCTGGACAGGGTGCCCTGATGTGCAGATTTGAGGTGAACTGAGGCTCAAGTTCTCCCGACACCCCGCACCCCTCCCAGAGCTCAACAGGAGCGGGTCCCTTCCATTCTCTGGGGGCCGGCAGCTCGGGCTGGCCATCACCTTGCTGCCTCCCCGCAGCATCCTTCCAGGGCATGGGGTAAAGCCAGGCCTCGGCATCTCTTTCCTGGCAGTGGGCACTTTTGCTATAGGAATGGTGAGGCCTGCCAACACGAGGCGCCTGTACCCTAAGCTCTGCTGAAGACCCGAGCAGAAAGAGTGCTAATTCCTAAATGAGTTCCAGATGGGCTCCCTCCACAGCCTCCCTCCTTTCCTGCCATTTTTGCTCCGCATACCCTCTAGGTGGGGGCTGCAGGCTCTTCTCTGCCCCTCCCTTTTAAAGAGCCCTTCTGTGTTTCTTGCATTTGGCAGAAGGTTGGGTTTCACCCTCCAGGTGTGGGGAACCCTGAGCAGACAGGCCCTGCACAGCCTGGGGCCTCCTCTGCCTTGACTTCCGCCAAGTAGCCAAGTAATTCTTTTCACAAACGCACAAGAGCTGTTAACCAGCTTCTTCACCCCAGCCCCTACTGCCTGCATTTCTCAGGCTCCCACAATGGACCTTTATCAGCTGCTGTTCTCTGGCCCTGCAGCCAAATCCTGTCCCGGACTGGCCTGCGAGAAACTGTGGCAGGAAGTGTCTTCCTCCCTCTCTCCTCCACCCAGGCTGAATAGACCCCTTGTTCAAGGCTGCAGGGTTGCATGCAGAGCTGGCCGAGGGCCTGGACAAGGAGGGAGAACCCCATGTGCCTCATTTCTGTGAGTTTCACACACGCATGTGCTGGGGGAGGGGAGGGCTGTGTCATTCCTAGGTGGGTTTATGTGAAAGATGGGGAGCTGAGGTTAGTGGTGCACGGTTATCATCCCAGCACTCAGGAGGCTGAGGCAGGAGGATCGCCTCGAGTTCAAGGCCAGCCTGGGCTACATAGTGAGTTCAAGGCTAGCCTGAACTGCACAGCAAGATCCTGTCTCAAAAACAAAAAATTTCCCTTCTACAAGAATCTACCTCTGTCTGGCTCCTCTCAGGCTTAGCTGGGCTGTACCATCTCCCTTTATAAAGGAGGCCTGGGCCATGGGACTCCTGCAACCCTGGATTGAGGACTGTACAGTAAGGAGTGATGGGGCCTGCCTTGGCTGGTAGCCGCCCGGTGCTTTGGCAAAGCCTGGATGCATAGAGCTGGAAGAAAGCAGATGGAAATGTACCGGGCCTGGGGAAACCAGTTTGAGGCTGGAGGAGAATGCCCTGGCCTATGACACAGAGTGCATGGGGAGGAGGGTTTCTCTCTAGCGCCCTCTGATCAGCTGCTTTAGAAGAGTTAGTGAAGCAGAGAGGACAAGGCTACTTTGAGAGACCTTAAAGCTGTCATCATCTTTGGAGCCCACGACAAACCTGGAGTAGCTGGAAAAGCCCCGTTGGCCAAAAGGCTTGGACCATCTATGGTTGGCTGCAAGAGCTGCGAACACTTCCGGTGGACAGCCTGTGGCCTGAAGGCTGCTGCCTGTTTTTGCACAGCGTGTGAGCTAAGAATGACCTCCATACTTTTAAATGGCTGCAAAAAATCAAACGAAGAACACCTTGGGCCCTATGCAAATGAGATGAAGCTCCAGGCTCAGAGTCCATCAGTAAAGTTCCGCTCACTGGAACTAGCTCCTCCTCGCCCCGGCACTACTACTGTAGCGTTGGGTGGTTGCCATGGACACAGCACGGTCCACAAGGCCAGAGGTACTCTGTCCCTGTACAGACAAAGGTTGTGGACCCCTGATTTTAGGGGATCCATTTCAGAGGGGGAAGAACCCTGGAATCTGGAAGCCTCCCACTCCAGGAGGGGTTGAGGGCTGTAAGTCAGAAACCAGTCTAACTGCTGCTAGAGACCTCAACTGTGTCCGAGGCTCAGCTGGAGTCCCAGCATGCAGGATGGTACTCCCTGCTCTTCTCGTGCCCAGCACTTCTTTGTTTTTCTTTCACTTGCTTGCTTGCTTTCTTCTCTCTTCCTCTTTTCCTCTCTCCCTTTCTTCCTTCTTTTTTTTGAGATGAGGGTCTCATGATGTAGCCCAGACTCTTGAACTTGCAGCAACTTTCCTGCCTCAGCCTCCTAAGTGCTGGGATTACAGGCACCCACCATGCCCAGTCTGGCACATGTTTCTGGAATGGCAGTAGATGGGAATGGGGTGTCACACACGGGAAGGAATAAGGAAGGAAGGAAGGAGAACCCTAAGGTCCCCCAGTGGTCTGCGGATCACCTGGCCTGTGGCGAAACCACCTCCCCCACCTCTCCAGGAAGCCTCAGCTGCTGGGCTGCCCTTCAAAAGCCAGGAGAGACCACAGCCAAGGAAGGGAGCCCAGGGTGCCGAGTCCCAGAAACGGGCTGAGTCCCTGCGTGTCCTGGACACCCCGAGGCCCCAACAAACCTCCAGTGCTCTCCATGAACACAGGGGGTTTTGTCTCTGGCTGGCGATTGTGTCTTCCTTTTATGGTCGGGCCAAGCATCAGTGTAAAATGCCATTTCTGCTTCCTGGTCCCTCTCTGCCCGCCTCAGGGTCCTCTCCCTTCAGGACTCCTTTCCTGTCTGCCTGAGACCTGCTGCGGCTGCAGTGGTCAGAACCAAAAAGCTGACTTCCCACCCTGGGAATGGCCTTCCCCTGGGTGAGGACCGCCCCTGCCCCTGCCTAACACCCCGAGCCGTGGGTGGTGGAGCGCTGGGATCCAGGACGCCAGGCTCTGTCTCATGGTGATGCCCAGTGTGGAGGCGCCTGGTTGCCCAAAGCCTTCTTTGCGCTCACAGAGAGGCAGCCCGTTGATCTCTCCCGACCCGACCCATCCCCAGCTGTGTGACAGGTGGGTGGCAGCGATCATTCCTGCTCTTCACAAAGCCCTCTTTCAGGGCCACTCTCAGGGGGCTGGGCTTCCCAGATTTCTCACTCCAGAAGGCTACCCATGTGGTAGAAAGTATACGGGCTCTAGATCTAGAAAGATCTGGGGTTGGATTTGGACTCTTGCTTCCTTTGTTTGAGACAGGTATTCCAGCCAGGCTGGTCTTGAACTCACAGCAATCCTCCTGCCTCAGCCTCCCAAGTGCTGGGATTACAGACATGCACCATCACGCCTGGCTTGGCTTCCGACTCTTGATAGACCTGGAGTCAGTTACATGAATACTTCAAGCATCCTTTTTCCCCTCTCAAAATAGCTGAGGATGTGAGGAACGAGACTATAGGTGTGAACGTGCTCCCAAGCAGAGATGGAAGAGAGTTTATCAGTTTTCCCCGGTCCTCGGTCCTCGGGGAAAACTGATAAACTCGCTTCCATCTCTGCTTGGGAGCCGCTACTGCTGCAAGTCAGCGTTACACGGCTGCAAATGCTTGAAACCGCTAACCTGGCGCTTCTGAAAACCACTCCTCTCTCCAGTCAGTTCCAAACCAAGCCAAGCACGGCTGTGGCCTCTCTGTTCCACCAGGGGGCAGCAGGCTGACTGCTACCGCAGGTGCCAGGCTGGGGCGGTGCAGGAACAAGATGTTCGGGAAATGTCCCAGGGAAGGGACAGGAGGCTGTGGTGCCAACAACGAGGGTAGGCAAATGGGCCGAGGGAATCCTCTGCATATGACTTCCGGATCCAGATACTCCAGGCACCATGCCCGCTGAACAGCCCAGCGAACTGTGCCACCCATCTCTGCCAGAGGCACCACCAGCCAGCTCTCCTTTAACCATCTAGCTCACAGAGCACTGGATACTTAGGCTGTGGGAGCCTGAGGTCAATTTGGGGAGCTGACCCAGTTGTTAGTGAATTAATATGACACAGAGTGGACTTCAGATTTTCTTTTTGAGCCCCCCAAATCTCCTTCCAATTTTCCAAAACGTCCAGGAGCAAGAGCAAAATTAAATCTCATAGACTAAAGACTCAGGGAGGCTTGATTTCTGTCTTGTGGGTGCTTTTAGAAATGAACAGACCTTAAAAGAACAAGTAAGTGCTCTAAAGTTGAGTGTGGTGGGGACCACTGGTAATCCCAGCACCACTCAGGCAGGAGGATCATGAGTTCCAGGCCAGCCAGGGCTACAGAGTGAAGCATTATCTAAAAAACAAACAAACAAACAAACAACATTGTCTGACTGGCAAGCACAAGGTCCTTGGTTAAATCCCTGGTACCAAAAACAAAAATCAAAAATCAAAAAACAAAAAACCAAATAAATAAATACAAACAAGGATAAGTGTTCTATACACAAGTTGGTGTATTCTTCCATCCAGTAGGTATTAGGAGTACCTACTGTATATAGTCCTAGGCTTCATGTTTCAGGGGATTCAGAGATAACTGTGATGCAGGTCCTTTTTAATTTTATTATTATTATTGTTGTTGTTGTTGTTTTGAGACAGGGTCTTGCTACGTAATTCAGGCTGGCCTCCAACTCACTATGTATCACAGGCTGGCCTCAAACTCATAGAGATCCTCCTGGCTCAGCCTCTTGAGTGCTGAGATTACGGACATGGGCCACCGTGCCTGGCAGGATGCAAATCCTCTTTTTTTTGTTTTGGTACCAAGGATTGAACTCAGGTCCTTGCACTTGTGCAGCAGGCAGCGAAACCACTGAGCTAAATCCCCAGCCAGCAAATCCTCTTTAATGAGCCTTAGTCCAAAGGACAGGTGATTGGGTCATGATATTGAAGTGCTTTATATTGTTTTTCTTCTTTCTTCAGATTTCTGTCCCTTTTTCTTTGGTTTAGGCCAAAATTTAATGATGAGGCTATAAAATGGGGAAGAAATAGGGAAAGGGAGTGGTTGGAAGTCAGAAAATGTTCAAACGTTTACCCTAAGGAATCCACAAAGTGGAGTGTAGAAGCAGCTATGCTGTTACCAATGTGGACAGACCCTAAAGAAAAGCGTCTCTCCCACCTCCTCCCTGTGATTTTCTTGGAGAATTTTTGAGCCTAGCTGTACCCCGCTTCATCTTGAAAATTCACTCAATTGATTGATTGATTGATTGATCGCAGTGCTGTGGACCAAATCCAGTCTCATGCTTGCCAGGCAGGCACTGTACCACTGAGCCACATCTGTAGCCCCTGCCTGATTCTCTAACTTGTCCTAGAAAGAATACTTCTGGCCAGCCGGGTGTAGGGTGTGTGCCTGCAGCACCAGCTACTAGAAAGCCAAGCTGGGAGCATTGCTGAACTTGATTTGAGATCAACCTGACCAACACAGCAAGACCTCAATTATTTTAATTTAGCTCAGTGGTTTCACCGCCTGCTGTGCAAGCGCAAGGACCTGAATTCGATCCCCGATACCAAATAATAATAATAATAATACTTTTTGGTTTAAACGGTGCGGAGAAGTGTAAAGGATAAAACAGAATGAGCCATCCATACTCTCATTGCTCACAGATAATGGCTAAATCCGTGCCACATTGTTCTGATGCAAACAGCACAGAAAGATATATCATGGAAAGTAGAAGGGCTCCTACATCTCTTATTCTTCTCCCTCAAAATAATCTCTGTGAGGTTGCTTTCATCCTTCCAGAAAAGTCATGCACTAATAGCACACATAACTCTAAGCCTGTGTTCACATCCTCTTCTGTTGTCATTATTTGCACAAAACGGTATCATTCTGTATACACTATTCTACACATTGCCGTTATTTTCATTTATTGAAGTATCTTGGACATCTTGGCCACCGTAGCACATACTAACCCACCTCATTCTTTCAAATGGCTATGTTGTTTTCCCTCAAGAGGATCTGTTATTTTGTTGCTCTAAGTTGGCTTTTATTATTGCAAACAGAACTGGGATACATGCTGCCGGTTCTTTAAAGGCCACATGATTTTCTCATAAGAAACGAGATTGTGCCCAGGGTCCCAGGAAATGGCTTCGGGTGAGGGGGAGCTGCCCAATGGCTTCATGTCTGGCCTATATCTGTGCCTTGACTTCTTGGGGAAGTTGCTGCTCCTTTCACCCATTCCCCTGAGCATGGTTGCCCTGGATGGAGCCCTTGTGGCTCCCACTGTTGAGGGCTTGCTGGGTCAGCCTTGGGCTCAGGCCAGGGCTCCTCTGCTCAGCTGGTGCTCATGGCTGCACCGTGCAGCTCTGAGGTTCACAAACAAACAGGAAGCCAGTCTACTTCCTCCCTGCCCAGGCTGGTGCCCTGTCCTCATCAGCCAGTTAGGCCAGGGGGAAGAAGCAGCCCAGGAGTTAGGCAAAACTTCCTGGCAGAGGGGAAAGGGGATTCTGGTCCCTCTGCCACTATGAGCTCCCTCCTCTGGGCACCTCTGTGCCCAGCTGGGGCTGGGACAGCCTGACTGACCACCACACTGGGCTCAGCTCTCCCCTTTTTTGAAGGCTTTTCTGATGAACTCCACCTTGTTTGGGTCCACTTTACCCCTTTGCTTCTCAGATGGAGTTTGTATTTGTAGTACTGGGAATGAACCCAGGGCCTTGTACATGCTGGATGAGTCCTTTGCAACTGAGCTATGCCCTAGCTCCCCCCCACCCCCCACCTTCTGCAAAAAATGTTTTTTGGGTGGGGCGAGCCAGGGATCGAACTCAGGACCTTGTGCTTGCCAGGCCGGCACTGGTGCCACCAAACTAAGCCTCTGCCCCCCCCCCCCGATTTTTGGGGGGCCGTTCTGGGGATTGAACTCTGATCCTTGCGCTTGTGAGGCAGGTGGTGGAACCACCGAGCTAAATCCTTGCCCCCCCAAATTTTTTTTTGAGACAGAGTCTCCCTATGTAATTCAGGCTGACCTTGAACTCAGTATATAGCCCAGGCCAGCCTCAAACTCCCAGCAATCCTCCTGCCTCAGCTTCCTGAGTGCTGGGATTACAGGTATCAAATTCCATTTTGAGATAGGGTCTGGCTAAATTGCCCAGGCTGGCCTGGAACTTTCTTTCTTTTCTTTTCTTTTCTTTCTTGTGTGTGTGTGTGTGTGTGTGTGTGTGTGTGTGTGTGTGTGTGTTTACAATAATCAAGTTTATTTCTTTCTGTTCTAATTTCTCTTTTTTTCCAAAACAAGAGACTGAACAGCCACCTCCAGGAGGGATGAGGGATGCGGGACAAGGTTGCAGCCCTGAGTCCGGATGGGGCTGGCAGGCACTGCTCCCCAGGCCGGTGGGGACAGTTACAGGAGCATGACACAGAGGCCGGGCGGGTGGGGCTGGAGAGGACAGCGGGAGAAATTCAGTGCAGACCACCCAGAAAATCCAAGAGTCACTCCTGGCATTAGACAGAAGGTGCCTGACTTAAAGGAATTAGAATTTTAAAAATACAGGCAAACACACAAAACAGCACCGAACATATCTAATCCTTTTTGGCTTGACTCAGAGCTCCGCACATTAGGATACTGAGCTGCCCCAGGGGGAAGGTTCCCAGTACCAGTTACTTTAGAGAACTTTACTTGTGGGCCTGGCAGCCCCAGTGAGTCACTGGTAGTTGTTTTTTTAAATCCCTGCTATGAACCTGTTCAGTTGCTACTGTTTTTCTTTCCAAAGAAAGCTGGGTGCAGAAACCAAACTAAAAACAAACACTAACTATGAAAACCTAAATGCCCCATTGTCTCCCCTTTGCAATTGTTTGGGCTTCAAATAAAAGTTTCTCTCTCAAACACCTGATGTGCAAAGAACCAGGGACCAGGTAGGGGCTGGAGCCCCGCAGAGGGGAGGATGGAGCTGGGCTTGCTGGGGCTGAGGTGGGAGGAGGTTAAGACAGAGACCTTCACAGATGTGCAAGGAGGGTCTGGAGGGAGTGCAGAGCTCTCTGGGGTACATCTCAAAAGACCAGGACAGAGCACCAGGGAGGCTGAAGCAGGAGAATCGCCTTGTGTTTGAGGCCAGGCTGAACTACATAGTGAGAGCTTGTCTCAAACATACAGACCAGGCCAGAGGCTGGGCTCAGCGGTGAGGGACACAAACTGCAGCCCTCCCAGGGTGCCAACATCCCTCCCCAACTCAGTCCCCATAGGACAAGAGGAGAGTGAAAACCTCAGGTTAAAAATAACCAGCTTTGTTGTAAAGAGAAATAAGCACAGGAAGGAAGCGTGGGGAGGTGCAGCAGAATAGAGAAAAAGCCCCAGAGAAGAGAGAGAGAAGGCGAGGTTTCTAATGGCCCGAAGCCGACCAGGTAGAGCTGAAGGGGCAGCCACTGGGTGTCTGTGGGCCAGGCTGGGCCGGCACTGGGCGGGGACCCTCTCGGGTGTGGCTAAGGCACACAGAAGTGATCCTGGGCCACCAAGACTGGGATTCAGATCCCCTAGGAGCCTTGGGCTGGGATGGGGTGGGTGTGGAGAGGGAGCCACCCTGGGCCCTGGGGCAGGGTGGGAAAGGTATCCCTGCAGTTCTCGTCCTGGAAGAGAGAACAGGAGCGAGGGGACTGGACCCTTCGCTGGCCCTGACCTGGAGGTGGAGAGGACGGCTCTGGGTCCAGGAAGCCTGACCCCTCACCTTCCAGCTGCATGACCTCGGACTAACACCTAATGTGCCTGGGCTCCAGGTTCATCTGTGACAAGAAGACAACACAGGTGCCCTCGCAGCACTGTGAGGTAATCTGCCCAAGGCAGCTAGAACAGTAGCAGCTCCCCAGCGCTTCTTAAGGTTGGCTGAGAGTTGATTGCAGTACTGCACACCTGTCTTCTCAGTCAGCACTTGGGAGGCTGAGGCAGGAGGATCACTGAGAGTCCAAGGTCAGCCTGGGCTGCAAAGTGGATGCTGTCTCGAAACAAAACAAAGAAACCAAAAGTGTCAGCTATGGGAAGTGGGGCACCGGGCAGTCCAGGAGGCAGATAGGGAAGTTCCTAACTGTCATTTCATGGAAGCCCTTTCCAGAAAGCCTCCCACCAAACCTGCCCTAGAGGGAGCAGGGAAGGAGGGATGGCAGATAAATAAAGTATGGGCCCGAGTGCATGGGAACAACAGAACAGTCGCATTTCAGTGTAGTGTAAGAGCATCTGCCACCAACCAGCAGGGCAGAGGGGCAATGACTTCCTGTGCCCTCTGCATTCGGAAAGGGCCAGGCAAACTGGTCACTGCAAGAAGATGAAGCAGAGAAAGGCGGCCCATGCAGAAGGGGATGTGCGTGGGAGACAGCAAGGCTGGCCTTGAACTCACAGTGATTCTGCTGCCTCAGCCTTCTGAGCGCTGGGATCACAGGCAAGTTCCACCCCTCTGGCTAGAGAAGGTTTTAGAAAGGTGAACAGGAGGTGGTTGAGATGGCCAGGAGGCCACTGTCAGGACAGAAATGGCAGGTGTGGTGATGAATATGAAGGGGTTGGCACAAGGCTCCATTCGGACCGACAGGCCAGCTTTACTATTATTTCAACGTCATTTTTAATTTTCGATTTCTGCAGTGCTGGGGACAGAACCCAGGGCCTCATGGATGCTCTAGGTAAGTGCTCTACCAGTGGCAGCACCCTGGCCCCTACAATTCTTTAATGTAGGGTGGGCACAGAGTCACAAGCCTCATGTGGTAGGCAAGGTCCCGAAGGACACAAGAAGAGTAGCAGGGCACTCTCAGGGCTCCGCCTTGAATTCATGGCCAAAGCATCACAGTTTACACTGCCTGGTTAAATGACATTATGGATGATCTTATCCAGTTTGAGCTAAATTAACCCTTACAAAATGGTCAAGAGGCTTGAAAAGATTGCTGGAAAGAAACTGCAGATTCAAACCCTCCTAACCAAATGTGGTGGCACACACCTATAATCCCAGCACTCGGGAGGCTGAGGCAGGAGGATCCCCGAGGGTTTGAGGCCAGCCTGGGCTACACACCAAGACCCTGTTTCAAAACAACAGCAAAGGACCCTCCTAATTCCTAATTCAGAAAGCACTGTAAAGATGGCTCTTCTCACCTGGCCTTCTATGTCTTTCCCATTATGAGGTGAAAGCAGAGACAATCTAACCAGGTGTAACATGAAGGAAGACAAAAAAAATTGTTTTTGTGATCTGCTACTATCAAGACAACTACTTGACATGCAGACTTCATGTCTGCCATTGTTAAAAATGAACCTTATGGGCTGGGGATTTAGCTCAGTGGTTTCGCCACCTGCTGCGCAAGCCCAAGGACCCGAGTCCGATCCCCGGTACCAAAAAAAAAGAAATGAACCTCACTCTTCTGCCACCTCCCTCGAAAGCACAAGGTCCCGAGTTCGATCCCTCGTACCAAAATAAATAAATAAATAAATAAATAAATAAATAAATAAGAACCTCACTTCAAGAATATATTGTGTCTTGAGATATTAATGATACCAGGCTGCATATACAACTTAGAAATAATTGATAGCTAGGCATGGTGGTGCATGTCTATAATCCCAGCACTCTGCAAGGCTGAGTCAGGAGGATTGCTGTGAGTTTGAGGCCAGTCTGGGCTACATAGTGAGACCCTGCCTGGAAAAGAAAAGAGAAAATAATTGAACATAGACTTAAGGTGCCTGCTTGAATTTTATTACTGATGAGCTGTCACACCTCAGTGTGGGGACTGTCATCTCACAGAGGGTTTGATTTGGGCAAAAGTTCTTCAGTCATGGGTTTTGGTCCCAGGGAGCCAACTGCTTTCCTACTTTATCAGCTTTCCACATCGGAAACACTGTGTATTGCATTTACCTGGGAGAACAAAGGAAGCCTGTATCCTGGAGCATGGCTCATCTGTCTCTCATTGCCTTGGTCCTTCTCTTCCTCCTGGAGATGAAGGAAAGATCAGCTGTGCTCCCTGGAGAAAGGATTAAGTAAACACGAGGCACTGGCAGCGTTTTTGTTTCTCTTATGGCCAACACTTTACAGCCAGCGGCAGCGCGACTGCCCCAAGGGATTCACAGGAGCGAGCACGCAGGCCTGGGTTCTCACTACCTCCACCTGCCCCTCTCTTAGCACCCCGTGGACCCAAGGACCCTCAGGTATGCAAGTCCTATGAGACACGGAGGCTTCTGTAACCCCAGTGCTTGGGAGGCTGAGGCAGGAAGATCACCGTAAGTTCAAAGCCAGCCTGAACTACTTAACAAAACCCTGTCTCACAAAACAAAGTTCCTACTTTTTCAAAGCACATTTGTGTGGTGAAGTTAGCAGGGTGGGGATGATTATTCTTTGTGCAAGGTGCTTTATAGGCACCATGGAGACACAACGATGAAAAACTGTCAGGACCCTGCTGATCCAAGAGGCAAGGTCAGCCACGCACTGAACCCCAGCACAAAGGTGGGTGCAGGGGCTTGAGAGGTTCCGGCGAAGAGGAACCGGGGTGCCAAAGTGGGATGAGGATCAGGCTTAGTCACGGAGCTGATGACTCTCGCCTGAGCCCTGAAGGTCTGGAGGGTGTGCCCAGGTGGAAGGGTGGGATGGCATTCCCCGAGAAGGGATGGTGGAAAAGCACGGGGTATGGGCTGCTAGCTGTGAGCAGCTACTTCACCGTCAGTGAGCACAGAGAGCCTTGGATAGTTGGGATAGGGTGAGGCGTAAATGCCCCCAAATTTTCAAAATAAAACATGGCCAGGGGCCTATGGTGTGTTTGTTTGAGGCCCAGCTGGGATTTTAATCGGGCTTCGGGTGGATGCAGGCAAAGCTCCTGCTGACCAGACTCCAGGGCTTGTGGGAAAACAGCCAGGGCCCTGGGCGGGCAGGCCACTTCTCTGGGAAACCCCTGGGGCCCGAGTTTCCAAGCAGCAGCCTGTTGGCTTGGGTCTGGCTGAGCTGAAGCTGCCCATGGAGCTGGGTGGTGGATGAACTGCTGGCTGGACTGCAGTTCTTGGGAACCCAAATGGGCTGGGCTGGGAATGGCAGAGTGTGGGATCCTGCAATAAAACGTAGGGAGAGGAGCTCTCGAAGTGGCCTGAGGTGTGTGGCAGGGCGTGGGGCCCTGCATTCCTGGATGGTTAAGATGACGACGCAGCTGATGATTATCATTATTGTTCCTGCTCCTTCTCTGCTCCTGTAGCTTTCATCCCCAGGACCCTGCCTTGCTGGCCAGGCATTGCCAATCAGCAAGGGGTGGGGCAGGGCGGGCGTCTCATCTCCAGGCTGCAAGGGAATCTCCCTCCCCTGCCATACCCTGCACTGGGCATTGCATCTCTTCCCAGAGCTGGCCAGATCCCGGCAGCCTGGAGGGGAGCCAGGGAAGGTGTCGGTTCTAGAAGAGGGAACTGGGCTGGGGCCAGGACCGCAGAGCTGGTACCCTCTGTGCCAGGTGCTTCAGGCACCATGAGGCCAGGCACTCGGTTTCCCATTTCTCTGGAAGGTTCTGCATAAGGGTGGCTCTTCCATCAGCCCCCGAGGGACGGCAATGCCACAGATTGGAAAAATGCCCAGCTCCCTCGAGTCAGAGGCCAGATTCAGCATCCAGACACTGGAAGAGCCCGGATCTCATAAAGATGGGCCAGCCCCGGGGCCAGTGCGCCAGACAATGGCTCAGAGACAGAGAAAGGTGTGCATTTTGTGCACATTCGCTAACACCAGGCTTCCAGGAGTGACGTGTCCCTGCTTGCTGACGGGAGATGAAAGGGAGAAAGGCTAGAAAGGAATTCGAAGGGCGATCTGATAAGTGGGTGAGGGGTGAACACCAGATCCTGTCCTTCAGCGGGCACCTAGAGGGGACAGGAGGGGGCCTGATGATGGAGGCTGAGACCGTCAACTTCCTTGGCGCCCTTACAGACATCGATCTTTGGGAACATCTGGCAATTTAAAGGACAGGTGGGAAAACACAGAAGAGCAGGCTGAAGGTGAGGATGGAAGACAAGAGACAGGACCCCAGAGGGCCCACAGCATCCACATGCTCCGAGTCAGCCAACCACCGAGCACGGGTGTGCCAGGCATGGCCCCATGGGGACAGATGCACCAGATGGGCACAACCGCCTTCCTCAGCAGGCTCTCTGCAGAAAGCCAAGTCTTCCTTTTTGGTTTCACACCTCCCTTCCACAGGACACAACATCAGAATCCTGGGCTGGGTCCCAAATGTCTTCTTCCTCCCTGGCTGTGTTCGGCCAAACCTGCCCTGGGCCCTGCCTCTGCCACCAGCTTGCCCACCAACTCTCTGAGGTCACAGGTCCGCAGGGCTCCTAGGAATTCTTCCTGGTTCCTTGACATCCACTCAGCCTGAGCGCTCAGCCCTCAGCCATGAAAGCCCGCTCTTGAGCTTGGCTCCAAGCCTCCCTGTCCTTCACTGATCCTGACTCTTCCCAACCAAGCACACCTCTGCCCTACTGCAAGGCCTCTACCCCTGACCCGAATAACCTCCAGTGGCTTCCTGATGCTTATCAGGCACAAGCAGAACTCTGGGGGCTATTTTCCAGGACCTCCCCACACATGCCTATTACCCAACACGAAAGCGCCTGCAACATGGCTCTCTACATTTGAACAATGCTCAAAGACCTTTTTAGGGAAATTATTTCTACATTCATAGTGGATTCCACCTTTACTAGATAGCTGCTCTGCTCCAGGCACTGTGACAGGTGCTAGACAGCTCTTGTGGTGACTGGGAACACATGCGCTCCTTGGTAAGGTGGACAGACACCAATGCTGGAAGCGGAATGTAGTGAGGGGTCAGACGGCACAATGACCAGCTTCACATGGCAGAGTGAACCTCACTGGGAGGAGTGAGGGTGTCCAACAAGATGCCCCCTATCTGCCCCCTACCATGAATGAGTCTCCCTGAATTCAGTGTTCTTTGGAAGTGACACCAGGAAACAGGGGCAGAATTTTTTTTTTAAAGGCAGGTCCTCTTTTTTAAAGACAGGTCCTATGTAATTCAGGCTGGCCTTGAACTCACTATGTAGCCCAGGCCGGCTTTGAACTCATGGTGATCCTCCTGCCTCAACCTACTGAGTGCTGGGATTATAGGTGTGCACCACCACGCCTGGCAAGGGGCAGGATTTAGAGTCTAAAGTTTCTAAAGCCTTTGGATCCCGAGGGCACAAAGAGCTGCAAAAGGCATTCACAACTTTGCTGAGTGTTAGCAAGCACCGGTTGCAGCATGGACCCCGGGGTGGCTCTCTTGGAAGGTGTGCAAGGGACTCTCCTCTCCCTACACTGCCCAGATGGTGTGGCTGCTGTTTGTGAGATTCACCCAGGAAGGGAGGTGCTGACCCTGCATGCAGGTGTTGGGCTCGGAGTCAGTGCTGAACCAAATCATTGGCAGAGAAGTCTTCAGCTGCCTCACCAAGATGACGCTGCAAATTCTACCCCCTTGCTTGTCTGCCACCCTCTGTGACGTGGAGAAAATAAGGCAAAGTTACAGCGTATTCTCTACTCCAAGTGCTCCATAAAGACACCTATACACTGACCCACATCAGGAGCCTTGGATCTGAGCGGCTGTCTTCTCAGTGTCGTCACTGCACGTGGACGCTGTCGTGTGATGGTGTGGTGGAGAGGACAGACAAGGGCTTGAGCTCACTGCACCAGAACACAGCCTCCAGGGGCTTGCTGCAGCCCCTCCTGAGTGGCGTTTTCTCCCCATCGGTGCCTCTGTCACCAAGGCACCAAGCAGAGGTGCGGGACGTGTTCCTGGTGGTGGAACTGGGATGGGTCCCGAGAATGCAGGAGTAGGGCTTTATCCAAAGCCCAGCAGGAAGGCGCTCCTTTTGAGGGGCGTCTGGTAAGAGTGCCAGTGACTGCGGCTCCTTGGGGAGAGGGGAACGGAGAAATAACACTGCTAAAGGCTGTGCCCCGAGCATTGGGAGCTTCCTCAATCAAAGCAAATGCCAGGCATGGTGTGTGGCACATGCCTGTCATCCCAGTACTTGGGAGGCTGAGGCAGGAGGACTCCTGTGAGTTCAAGACCAGCCTGGGCTACACAGTGAGTTCAAGGGCAGCCTGGACTACAGATCGAGACCCTGTCTCAAACAAAACAAAACAGAAAAAGAAAAATTACAAAGCAAATCACTCCAAAGGCAAAAGCTCTTTCTTCCTTCCTCTCCTTCCTTCCTTGTTTCCTTCTTTCCTCCTTCTATCCTCCCTCCTTCCTCCTCTCCCTCTCCACCTTCTCTCCTTCCTGCCTTCCTGGGGGATCCGCAGAGTTAGTCTGCACAGAAAGGATGCTGTTGAGCTGGCTGGAGTCCTCACAACCTCTCTGAGTTCCATGCAAGTCCATTAAACCGTGCAGCTCAAAGTGATTACAATGCATCCTTTGTTCTCCAGCTGTGTAACCCAGCCTGAATCTTGTCTCTCCAGCAGGTTGTCAGTGGCCAGAGCGCACAGACCCAACCTCACTTCCCCAAACCCCTCAGAACCCCTCAGAGTGGTCATTCATCTCCTGTGTCCCCCCTTCCTGGTTGGTACCAATGAACAGTAAAAGACACCCAGTTCAATCTGAATATCCAATTAAGCAGCAAACAATATATTTCAAGTATTACTGTATGTTGAGTCCCTCTTTCCCTGAAGATAAGACGTAGCTGGAAAGTAATCAGCCTTGAAAACTAGAGATCAAAATTGCCGGCCCCAGTCAGCCAATCCTCGCCTTACCTGCCTTACAGAGTAGAAACCAAGCAAGAGGAGTAAGAGGTAAGGCAAAGACAGACTGATTGGAGCCAGGATTTTTGATCTCTAGTTTTTCCAAGTCTGATTATTTTCCAGCTAGGCCTTGTTTTTGGGGAAACACAGTAGTATTTTGTTACCCAGATTATTTGATTAACCATACTATTCCATTCCCCAACACCCTATAATATGCAATTCACAAGTTAGATATCCCAGCCCTGGAA